GAATAGCTATGAGATTAACTGCCTATGAAGAAACTGATAAGAGAAGACAAATTTCTCTCTTTATTGATTAATTACAAGAAACCTACTACTCATATTTATATTACATACGATGACAATAAAGGGAAACTGAATCTGCTAACTAAGGAAATAATTACAAACTATCAATTAATATAAAACAACATCTTTAATAGGAAACTTCCATATACGGTTTCCTACACTCCCCCTCAAGTTGAACTATAGATGTTAATCATGTTCAACTTGCAGTTGAGATCATTGAAGGTTTGTCGAGGTAGTCCTTTTGTAAAAATATCTGCAGTTTGTTCCTTTGTAGGGATATATGTCATACAAATAATTCCATCGTCCACCTTTTCTTTAATAAAGTGTCTGTCCACTTCTACATGTTTGGTCCTGTCATGTTGTACTGGATTGAGAGAAATGTTGATGGCTGCTTTGTTATCGCAATAAAGTTTGATTGGATGTTCTAAGTCCATTTTCAGTTCTTCTAAGAGTTTCTTTATCCATAATCCTTCACATATCCCTTGTGCAACTGCTCTAAATTCAGCCTCAGCACTGCTTCTTGCTACTACGTTTTGTTTCTTACTTCTCCAAGTTACCAAATTTCCCCATACAAAAGTACAGTAGCCAGTGGTGGACTTTCTATCTTCAATAGATCCAGCCCAGTCTGCATCTGTGAATATTTCTACTTTCTTTCCTTTATCCTTCTCAAAGAATAACCCTTTCCCTGACGTGCCTTTTAGATATCTAAGGATTTTATATACGGCTTCCAGGTGTGCCTCCTTGGGTGAATGCATATGTTGACTTACCATGCTTACTGCGAAGGCAATGTCAGGTCTAGTGTGCGAGAGATAGATTAGTTTACCAACTAATCTTTGATATCTGTCCATTTCCACTGACTCTCCTGTATCCTTTATTTTTGTTGTCTCAAGGGGTGTATCACTCGGTTTACATCCCAACATTCCAGTTTCAGTCAGAAGATCAATGATGTATTTTCGTTGTGAGACACTAATGCCTTTCTTTGATCTTGCAATCTCCATTCCCAAAAAATACTGCATTGGTCCCAAGTCTTTTATTTCAAATTCGATGGCTAAGCACCTTTTTAACCTTTCCATTTCTGCCAGGTTGTCCCCTGTTAGGATTATATCATCAACATAGACAATTAAAATGGTCTTTGCACCATTACTAGAGTAATGGAAGAACATTGTGTGATCAGACTGCCCTTGCTTGTATCCTTGAGTTTTCAATACCTTTGCAAATCTATCAAACCATGCTCTAGGTGACTGCTTGAGACCATATAGAGACTTCTTGAGTTTGCACACTTGATTTTTGTCATTACCTCTGTTGAAGCCAGATGGTATTGTCATGTAGACTTCTTCTTCCAGTTCTCCATTCAAGAATGCATTCTTAATATCTAGTTGTTGGAGTGGCCAGTCAAGATTCACTGCTAAGGATAGGAGGACTCGAACAGTATTTAGTTTTGCTACCGGTGCAAAGGTCTCTGTGTAGTCAATGCCATAAGTCTGAGTATACCCTTTGGCGACTAGACGAGCTTTGTAGCGTTCTATTTCTCCATCGGCCTTATACTTCACATTGAAGACCCATTTGCATCCTACCGGTTTCTTTCCCTTTGGTAGGCTTACTACTTCCCAAGTCCCATTTTTCTCTAAAGCCTTCATTTCCTCCATTACTGCTTCTTTCCATTTTGGTACTTCCAAAGCCTCCTGAATATTTCTTGGAATTTCTATTTTATCAAGGTTAGCTGTAAAAGCACGAAATTTTGTAGATAGAGCATTATAAGACAAAAATTTTGAGATGGGATGAAGAGTACATGACCGAGTTTGTTTTCTGAGAGCAATTGGTAGATCATTTTCTGGAGATACGACTTTATCGGGATCTTCATTAGGTCCTTCCATCGGTTCCGACGTTTTTGGTGCCTCAGATATGAGAGTTTCCTTATACTTTGATTTAGGCTTCCTTGAGTAAACTAGAATCTCCTTGTCACTTTGTTTTCTGACATCTCCCCCTGGATTTAAGTTTTCTTCTGTATATGGCATAGTTTTTTTTTTTTTTGATAAGTAATCAAAAGATTTTATTCATCATAGGATAATACAAGGGAAATGTATTATCAATTTAGACAACACATAACTGACATGAAATTGGGCAACCCATCTACATGATTAGGAGCTACAGTATTAAACCAACTAAACAAGGTTAGATAAAATAAATCTCTGACCTGTTCTTTTGT